TCTGTAATGGAATACATTTTAAAAGTAACCTTCCCAACACTGACCACCACTGATCTGAGGTATTTATAGTCCCCCACAATGTCCACATCCCTAGATTGAAACAGGGGTCTTGTCTCTTCACGCTTACTGAGTCATCAGAAAATTTCTGATGAAAGCAGATCTCATCAGAAATAGCAGATCTCGGTGCAGTGGCTGAAGTCTGTGGTGTAGAGGGTGAAGAGAAAAGGGGAAAGGACATTCCCTTGTGATGCCCTTCTGCTGCCGATCACCTTGTCAAATACACAGTGTTGAATACACATATATTGTGGTCTTCTTATCAAGTAATCAATAATCCAGGACACAACCAAGGCATCCACCTGCATCACTGTCAGTGTATCACCCAGGAGGGTCGGCCAGATGGTATTGAATGCACTGGAAAAGTCGAAAAACATGACTCTCAGTTGATTAAGCACGATGAATATGATGGCGTCTTCAGCTTCAAGGTGGGGCTGGTTAGCGAACTGAAGAAGATTCTGATGTGGCATGACAATAGGTCAGAGGTGGACAAGGATGAGTTTTTCCAGGGTTTTCATGACATGGGAAGTTAGTACCACAGGTCTTTAATCCTGGGGGACATGGCGTCTTTGACACAGGAATGTCTTTCACAGCGCTGGGACCCTCTGCAGACTCAGACTCATCATGTGTCATTTTGACCCAGGGTTCTCAGTTTTCTTGTGTTTTTCTATTATGTTAATTTCATTTGTTATTTTAAGGATTTATTCTGTGGTTTCTAGGGTGTTCTGTTTAGTTTTTGTTTATTAGATTCCCCCTTGTGTCTTTGCCCTCTGTCTCCCTCTGTGTGTCTGTGAGTTCTTGTGCCTCGCTTCCTTGGTTACCTTGTTTCCCTCCTTGTGTTTTATTCCATCATGTTTCCCCAGCTCATCGTGTTTGTGCTCTCCCTTGTGCTCCTCCATGTTCTCTCTCCATCTCCAGTCTGCATCTGTGTGTACCTTCTGTTTTATTTTGATAGTCTCCCTTCAGTGTACGTCATGTTGTGTTTGCTCCTGCCCTGTCTCATTATTGTTATTCGTGTCAGCTGCTTTCCCCGTGTGCTCCCACATTCCTCGTTATCTTTCAGTGTATTTATGTCCGCGTCTCCCTCCGTTCCATGTCGCGTCTTCTCTCATGGCTGCGTGTCTCTCCCTGTGTTCCCCTGAGTAAATTAATATTAGAATTTCCCAGTTTAGTTTTGCATTGTTTCTTTTTTTGCCTTTCATCAAGCAATAAAGCTTTGAGTTCACGTCCTGCTTCCGTGAGTTTTGCATTTGGGTCTTTCTCTGCCTGCACACAGCCGATTCTTGACATCATGAACAGTTTATGAAAGACTCCACAAAGCTGGGGTCAAAGCCCTTGAGGACACAGGCAATCACTGCTTCTGGTTGAGAAGATTTGCCTGAGTAGAGTCTTCTGATTGCCTCTGAACTTGGTCATGAGTGAATGTGACAGGTGGGGGAGGAATGTCAGGATGTTCACAGGAGGCTATGGTGCAATGTGGGGAGAGAGAACGGTGTGGCTGTGGATTACAGGCTGACTATAGTTAAGTCAGTATTGAGGTGAGCATTTACAGCAGTGTTGAATCTGTTCAAAAGTCCATTCAACTCATTGGCTCTGTCCTTACCGATGGCATGAATTGAGTGGTGGGAATATTGGCCTAGTGAAATTTTCGTTATTTTTATTAATAAACCGTGACTAGGGTTACACTTTTTAATGTTTCTCAGCTTGCTCTAATGAAACTAAAGGTGGTTTGTAAAGGGTCCAGCCCTAGTTTGGGGAACCTCTGGTGCATCGATGGAAGTGGGAGCCTCTTAAGCTGGCAGGGAGATTGTTACCATCCTTTTCGGGAGGTGTCTGCTCTCCACGAGATCACTCTGTATTTAGAGGAAGGATTTAGTAGAGGTGGAGGATGAACTCGACCTGGGTGTCTATTGTCTTATGTAGTCTGGGAGTTCATTGAATGTAAGGGTGGGTGTACTTTTCCTCTGTGACAGGGTCGGGTGGGCTGCCCCGGGCTCATTGGGGCTTGGCAGTGCTGCTGCTGTGGCCCCCGGTACGGATAGGCCCGGTCCCCTGCCCTTGGTGGATTCCAGGGAACATGGGTGCCTACCGGGTTCAGCGGAGAAGCTGGCTCCAGGGAAGCGGCACTTTGACCCCCCCCCCCCACCACCACCAATCCTTCCCTTCCCATCCCCACATGCCTCCCTACTCCTGCTCCATCACACCACCACACATGCAGGGCCAAGAGGTACAGGTGTGTCATTGAGGTGCAGGGGAGACATTCCTCCTCTGTCCCCACACCACCACCCATGCAGGGCCAAGAGGTACAGGTGTGTCATTGAGGTGCAGGGGAGACATTCCTCCTCTGTCCCCTCTTGGCCACCTGTGCCTCACTTTTATTCCACAACCGAGACATCCACATTACTTACACTCTCATAACACATACATATAGGGCCTTGGGGGTGGGCACACTAAACGGTGTCCAGAGGACGGACTGTTTATTCAAACTCACCTCTGTTGCCAGTGCCTACCAAATTGAGAGGCGGACACCGGCATAATGACTCAACAGATGAACCCAGTCACAGCTTCAGAGTAACAATACAAATTTGCACCAAAAATTAATGTTTTCATATTTTGTGCAAGGATTATTCATGAGTTGAAAATAAAATGTAATGCAATTCTATAATGGTTCATTTTAAATGATATTATCTATTTGATAGCAACTTTATTATATATTGAAAAAGAATAAGATTAAAAAGTAAAGCTAATACTCAGCATGAGATTTCACTCTTGTATAAAAAATGGACAAATGATCAAACAAAAATGTTATAGTTAGAAGTTAGAACTCATTTAGTTAGTTTGATATTTAGATAAAGCCGTTGATTTTTTTTCCACCCTTATTCCTGTTACAGCTCCTCCAAATGCTGACAGTTTCATACCAGTAGAACATCATGAGAACAGCATCACTCTGCAGTGGGATAAAGTCAACAACAATGTCAGCTTTGTTCTCCAGTTTAATGATACAGAGACAGACATCAGTGTGCCAGATGAAGATGGACCAGTAACTCACACAGTCTCATCTCTCACTGCTGGAACTAAATACACATTCACTCTCTACTCTGTGTTTGAGAACATCAGAAGCAGTGGAGTCAGCATTACTGCAGTCACTGGTGAGTTAATGAAGTTGGTTTGGTTTAACCCATTTGTAAGACAACAGTGATGGGAAACC